CAAGAGTCGAAGAGGCTATATGCCGAAGCGGCCCCTTAAGAAGAGGGCAACTACGATGGCCTTTCGTTCTCTCGAACGGACAGCCATCCACATTTTTGACCACGTTGTCCCTCCTATTTATTTCTATGTCATTTTGTCAGGATTGTTGGAGAAGAGACGGCGAACAATCGTATTGATTATATTTTGTCGAGTCTGCATGTAAATAGATTGTTGCCTACTTAGCGATATGGAAAATGCCAGTTCAGTAAATTTAACGAAATCGATGTGCCATTATTATTCTTGACTTTTGGTAACTTATTCGCTGTCTAATCTCAGACTTCCTGGATTTGTGTTAATGTTCTATTTTGCCTGTCCTTTTGTGCCCCTTTCCAGGTTTAGGTGGATCATTAATCAGAATCCATTTTTCCTTTCAAGTCATCATGGGTAGTTCATCGCTGCAGATCTTGCTGGACTCGTTGGTAAGCGATGATAAGAGACGGTAAAAGATGTTAAAGGATGGTTGTTATCACAGAGATGAGTTGGGAGATTGTTCACGGGCAGGGTCGCGCAATCGCGTATTTGCCACCTGATACTTCCCAGTTACGGTTCAACTCAAAGATGGGTTGGGAGTAGAGATGAGGAGGATCCCTGAGTTGCGCCGCCACTGGGGGGTATCAGCTGACAAGTGCATGAACTGCTGATATACTCCACCGAGAGCAGCAGAGAATGCAATCACACGGCCAGCGCGTGAACAATCTCCCAATTCATCTCTACAGGGCGTTTATCACGTATTTTTGACGAGAGCGCTCACTTCTCGTACTTTCATCTCACGTGGGTTTATTCGCCAAATTACTTATTCGCTATATGAAAGTACAAGATCACTAGCACTTCCGGTCTAGTAATATTGTTAAATAAAAGTAGATACCTTGTAAGTCGAAAATTGTGAGAGGTAGTGTGTACAGGCAGGAAAGGTGGGAAGATGAAAAGCCGTTAAAAGTAAAGAAAAGGACTCGAGTCTACGCTTCACCATTTCGCTTAAAAATTTGTGTTGAGCCAATTCATATGAATGGTCTCGCATTTTCATCACCGAAAACGTTCCGTAATACCGTGAGCTACTCGTTTTTCACATTTTCGCTCAAATTGCTTTACGTAATAGACCCCCTGATAGCTGCAAAACGTAGACCATGAGTAAGATCGCTTCCTGTAATGTACTCTGTGGCCGTAATGTCGAGGAATTGTATATTTTAAGTTATTTAAAAAAAATGAAGGAATCTTGTTATGTAAAACGCAATTTACAAGCAGCATTTGTAAAATGTAAGTAATTTAATTAAGAATTTAAATAATCACCTAATGTTTGCGGAACAACCGTCTTAATATAATGTTTATAATGTTATAACCTTTAATGTAGGTAATCACTATACAATTTTCCTCCTTATAACGTATATGAATCTCGTTAATACTTGTTAAAATAATTTTGCGTTTTAGCTTGATTTGATAAGTGGTCGTTAAATTTTAAACATGATCAGAGGATTATCGAAAGTTGTCATCAAAGATATCAAAAGAAATGCAAGCGTTAGTACGTGGTCACCTTTGGCAACTGCTTTTAATACAAAATCAAAAAAGTTTAAATTGGATTTGTCCCGAAAGGAGTGCGTAAGTAACATTAAGGTGCATAATCTATTCGTTTATATCAAGGGCTTTCCTTCTACACACGTTGTTTAATTTATAGGGCTTATTTGGCATCCCAGAGTTAAATAATGCACAAGGCTTTAGTATACTTAAAGATCGAGCGATATCGGATACTAATCAACTTATCGAGGAAGCTATATCAGATGGGCGAAAAAGGAAGATGGTCGAAATTTTTGACGAGATGTCAGATGTTCTTTGTAAAGTAGCTGATTTGGCAGAATTTGTAAGGATGACCCATCCTGATAAACGATTCAGCTCAGCAGCTGAAGATGCATGTGCAACCGTCAGTTGCATGGTGGAGCAGTCAGTAAAGATTATATTTTTTTAACTGTGGCAGCTTTTATTCATTTTTACTTGAACAAAACTGTTCATTTCACAGATTAAATACTCATGGGGAACTGTACACCGTTCTCAAACATGTAGTGAATCAAGGAGATATACAAAAATTGACTGACATAGACAATCATGTATTAAAATTGTTCTTATTTGATTTTGAACAATGTGGAATTCATTTACCCGACAGTCAAAGGAAGGTTGTCGTAGATATAAATGATTATATTCTTCACGTATGTAATATGCAGTTTTCATAATATTAAAATTAGATAATTTATTCATCAGGAAACTTGGTAGAATTTTATGCCAAGTATACGCTTACTTACGTTGTATACGTATGCGCAAAGTCATGTGTATGTATGAAACGTCATGTTTAGGTATAGGTAACAGTGAAATGTTAGTCATTGATAGAATGACAACAAAAACTTTTTACAGGTAGGGCAAAAATTCATGGCAGGAGCTTTTGAACCAAGAACAATAAAACTTAGTGAATTACCAAAAGAAGCTAGGCATTCGTAAGTGATGTTTAGGATTTCAATTCTAATTAGATTTGAAGGCGTAGTAAAGGAAAAAGTAATTATTTATAACAGTTTTTCAGAAACTGATAAAGAAGTTGTAGTACATGGAATGCTTGCCGAATCTGATAATCCATTCACACGAGAAAGTGGGTATCGAATGTATTTATACCCTGACAAGCAGCAGGAGCATTTATTAGAGGAGCTATTAAACTCTCGATTCGACTTAGCTCAAATCTGTGGATTTTCAACATATGCACACAGGTGAACTTTTATCAGATATTAATAAAAGAAAAAAAAATTTATATTTATTTAAAACAGATAGTGCTAATGTTCAGGGCAATTAAAGGGAGTACCGTTGAAACACCTGAAGTGGTATGCAATTTTTTAAACATTTTAACTGATGAACTGAGGGATAGAGCAAGAGAGGATTTCGATATTATGCAACAAATGAAGAATGCAGAGATATTGGAAAAGCAAGTATGTATAAGTTCTAAGTAAGGAAATCAAGTTTCTTATCTTACGTTAATTGCAGGATTTAATGATATGGGACACTGCTTATTACACCGCGAAAGCAAAGAACTCCTGGTTAAATCTACCAAATGCTGAACTTGCTCCTTACTTTTCCCTCGGAGCTTGTATGGATGGTATCAATATATTAACACAGTCTTTGTATGGAGTCCGATTAGAATCTGAATCTGTTTTGCCTGGTGAGGTATGGGCAGAAAATGTGTACAAATTAGCCGTAATAGACGAAAACAATGTAACATTAGGTCATATTTATTGTGATCTATATTCAAGAGTCGGTAAACAAAATCAGGACAGTCATTTTACTATCAAAGGAGGAAGACAGTTGCCAGATGGGAGTTACCAGGTAATTCCATAATATATCCAAAGTATAGATCTCAGAAAATTATAAAAGAATCGTTTTAAACATTTCCAGAATCCTATAGTGGTTATGATGCTTTCCTTACCACCGCCAACGTGGTCGAAGCCTTCATTACTAGCTCCACAATTTGTCGATAATCTGTTTCATGAAATGGGTCATGCTTTACATTCCATGTTGGGCAGAACGCAATATCAACATGTAACTGGTACTAGATGCAGCACAGACTTCGCCGAAGTCCCAAGTATTCTGATGGAATATTTTGCTAGCGATCCAAGAGTAAGCAAAGATTTGTGTACGTTATTGGTAGGCTTACGGTAATGAATGTTTCATTTATCAGGTCGTGTCGAAATTTGCGAAACACTACAAAACCCAAGAACCAATCCCGGAGCCATTGTTACAAAAATTTTGTGTTACGAAGCATGTATTTCCAGCTTCGGAGCTGCAGAATCAAGTGTTTTATAGCATGCTGGATCAAGTTTACCACAGTAATAAGTTAGAGCGATCCAGTACAGAAATTTTAGCAGACATCCAAGGGAAATATTACGGTCTACCATATGTCGAGAACACGGTAAGAATGTCAATAAATATTTTACGTTTTCACGTCATTCCGAAGCTTTATTTTACAGGCGTGGCAATTACGGTTTTCCCATCTCGTTGGGTACGGTGCAAAGTATTATTCTTATCTTATTTCCCGAGCAATCGCTTCTTGGATTTGGCAGACTTATTTCCAAGCCGATCCCTTCAGTCGTTCTGCAGGTCAGAAATATAGAATGGAATGCTTAGCGCACGGAGGTGGAAAGCCCGCGTCTAAACTTGTATCAGATTTCTTAGGAAAGGAAGCAAATGCTTCCAATTTTGCGAAGGCCTTAATAAGCGAAATCGATATAGACCGTGAAAATGCACGCGAGATGAGAAAAGCACTTAACTTGAAGGCTCTATAAAACGTGAAAACGTTGGTAACATACGTCACATTAGTAGGAAATATACAAAGTACCTAAGCTGAATTTTTTTCAGTTATACAAAATTCCAGGGAAGGGTGGAACGATGTTTCCTAGTGAAAAGATCTGTACAGATTTTTAAAAAACGATGCAATGAGGTGTACATAAACATTTGAGATAAAATTATCATTGATAGTCTTAATTTTTCGTTGTTTTATTACAAGTACGGAACCTTACCCTATTTACAATCTTGACACATCCTACGAAATATTACACAAAAATAAGTTTTGCAATATAGCTTATGTATTCAGTTCAAGTACAGTATGGCGTAACGACCAGTGGAACTTTGCAATAAATATTTATAAAATATTTGTAGTTTCTTTTATTTAATGAATGATATGAGCACGTAAACGATTGTTTGCTAAAGGCAATGGTGAAAAATCTATGGTTCTACATTAATTAATTAATTAACTATGAAACTGTACATCTAATTGCATAAGAGATTCTTCTTAATGAATTTCAAGCATCGATTACTTATAAGTAAGCATTTATTTAACTGTTCACCTATACATTACGTCGATCATTTTTATCTTTCTAATCTCTGTCGAACTCCAGTTTCTACAGCTCCGTACAGCGTACCACTGTTCGTTACTAATAACTGCACTTGTGTCACGAAATAGTTCATACTAAATGTTTCCACCAGGCAGTTCGAGAAGATGCAAGTATTTCATAAGTATTGTCTTCTCATTGCATGTAAAAACCCCAGCGATGAAAGTTACCATTTAAATAACACTGAGATGTCAAACCATAAGCTGATAAAATCGATTATTAATATTTTTGATCAATAATATGAATTGTATGTATTTGTTTTCATAACAATCGGTTTCTACATTATGCAGTTTCCTGTTTATGTTCATTCTCATTCAATTATCTTATCTTTTACATACTTCTCGAGAGTATAATTACAGTTCCGTGTTGTTCTTCGTTATTACTCTCATATTATTCACAAAAACACTGGACACACGTTTTTACACAGTTCTCTTGCTGTAGCCATTACGTTTTGCACTAAAACTTACAATTGAGATAATTCATGGATGAGCTGGCACCAAGGTGAACACCTCCACGTACCGCTTACCCATTGAGCAGCAGCTCAATATTTTTTTCAGTTTATTCTTCACGCGTTGACAGTAATACTTACTGCACAGCACTTTATGAGTTTCATCGTCAACCCTTTCTCCTATAAAAAAATTGTTATACGACCTTGCAATACAGAAGATTGAGAGCACAAGTGCAATATAAGAAGGATTACTACGCTCAATCGCAATCTAAATCGAAGACCCTAAACTGTTGCATGCTGAAATAATTCCGTTCTGAACTCCACTAATTTAATATTTCCATACTGTTTCGCCAGTTACAAAATAACAACTTTGTTAACTTTTTTTGGAACGCAATAAATAAATAGACAATAACAGAACCTTAAATTACAAATTTCATGGCAAATGGATCCTTTTTATATTATACCAACAACCAAACGTGTGTCGACGAGTATTATCCACAATTTTATACAATTCACTCCCAGAATGCCCACAACTGTGTAAATTCAAATACAGGAATACCTTTTTTTATGAAAACAGAGTATGAATTCATTTATATTCAAGATTTTATAAACATATTTACTTTTTCTGTATTGTAAGGTGCCACATATAGAACGACGCTTAATGTTTTAATATACGTGTCTATATTAATCTGTTCAGTCTCATTAGTGGACATCTGCAATTGCTTCATATCAACGTATCATTGCTTACACAAATGAAGTTTCTCTTTTATACAGCGTCATATCGATATTTTTTTTTTTGATACAGTTTCTTCGAGTACCGATGTTACGAACAGCATTTCTGACGCACTGACTGTTTAAGTATTTGTCACTAGTATTGTAAGTTCCAAACCAGGTGCACACATCCACTTTTCTTTTTTTCACTTTGTTAAATTCAACGAATAATCGATTCACGTACGGTATACACTCCGACATTTTCTTTTGAACATCTTCCGCAACGGTATTGGTTTTAAACTAACAAAATATTGCGTTGCCATTCTTAAATAACTGTAGCAGGTTCGTAAATCACATTCGTTACTCTTCATGATCAATCTTTAATGTTGTGAAGAACTGTATCGCATAAAAACTGCTGAAACATCTATTAATGTGATCCTCGCATACACTCTGCGGTAGTAAAAGTTGAGACATAACACAAAACAAAGTGACGTCGAAGCACTGCTTGCAACATGGTCGTATGTGTCCAGCATCCAACATACTGCTTGGCTCACCGAACCCGATTAGCTTCGTTTATTCTCAACGTTTCCTTCCTTTCGTGCCTCCAAGTTGCTGGAAACCGTTTTAATGTCTCAGTCAGTCCTCTGCGACGTAGCGCAGGTTCATGATAACGGTCTGTCTTTCGTACTTTCGAGTTTTAACTCGTTATATTCAACAAGAGAGTACATCAACAGTAATCCGATGGTTTTTATCAAAACGTATAAACGTTATCCAACTCAATCTGACTTTGGCATTCGGTCGAGGTTACGCGACATAGTTGTACTGATTTGCATTATCCTTGTCTCGCTCCATGTAATCGCGATCGATCAGCGACTCGATTCGTTTCTTCAGGTCCGCAGGCTAAAAGAAAAATCGAAAACTAAGTTTAACAGGAGTCCATTTTCTTTATCATTTACGTGTGAGAACATTCACAGGATTCGTACCTTGACAGGGAATTTAAGTTGATTGTAAAGTTCACTAATGAGAAGATTGTGCGTTAGAGTTTTCCTCATTTTCATGATCCTTACTATAGCGGCGTCGATTTGATACTGCCTATCTTGATATACCCTCTCTTCGGTTGCTTTTTGTTCTTCGTTCTACCGAAAGCAAAGTGTATTAGATGGATATTTTAAAAAAAATTACCACTGACAATTTATAAAACATAGAGAAATATCCTACCGTTTCTTTCATTTGGATTTGATTAATTTTGATTCTGAAAAGTTTATTCGTAAATTCCGCGTTAAATATAAATCTATCGTTATCGGCCACGTCTCTTCCTCTGGGATTCTTTTGTAAAACTCTAGCTTTGCCGCAGGCTAAAGATTGCAATGTCCTCCTTAATTCGCCATCCTCGATGTTTGTCGCTGCTTTGATGTCTTCCAGAGACAAGTTGTCAGCGTCATTGAATAGAATCAATACTAATGCTTGAAACAACGATACTTGTAATTCTTTATTGCCCTGTAAGAGAAGAATTAAATTTGAGATATTCCTAAAGACAAGGTACAAATGGTATTTACTGTTCCATTTGTTTTTCCTAAATGAAATAACATATGTCGTACCTGATTAAACCAAGCTTTAAGTACACAATGGCCCAACGTAGGCTGCCATTGCAACTTTCTTCCGCTATGTTTACCCAAGTAAAATTTGTTAAAAACATCTTGATATTGGACCATTTCTGCTGGCAACGTTACTTCCATTACTGGATAAGTTGGCCAATAACCCATTGTAAGAATGGACACTGTCAAATCTAAGGTACTGGCAGATAATTCATTTTGCAGATTTCCCGCATACTGAGAATTAAATGTGTAAATTAAGTATACATACTCTAATAGTTTACATCATGGTTGTAACCACATTCGGTCGACTGTTTTAAACTATCACTACTAACCTGTTTAAAAGCAATGTTAATGTCTTTGCTAAGTTCCATATCTTTGAACATTCCTTCAAGTTTACTCGTGAATCCACCGCCACATTCTTGTTTTAATTTCGACAGCATAGATTTCTCAGCATCGACGGAAGCTGATTTACCAACCAATAAACGTTTCGCCAGGTCTTTCTTATAAAATGCTTCGAATACATCTTTCCCATGAATGAAACGAAAGAGCACCATAATTTTATCTAACAACCTTTCCAATTCTTCTTCCGTTGCTTCTTTGTTCCCTGCTCGCAACTTGCAATCGACAAATTTTGCTGAAAGACAATGAAAATTATTAGTTAAAATGATGCAACGAATTCTTGTTTACAGTGGATATTGAAAATAGGAAAGAAATTTATTAAACAGTATGTTAATACAACCTATTAGCTCAGCTGGTTTGTTTGCACGTTGGTTAATAAATGCTTCAAAAGCTTCTTTTAAACTGTTTGAAAACTTCTCATTCTTGTGGAAACACGTATTAACGATGTTGTCCATTTTATCCTTAAAATCTAATAGTTCTTGAACCATCGTTTTGTCCTTTTCGGGATCTATAACTATCGTCTTCCCCTTTTTCTGTAATTAATACAAGTCATTATTGTAGAATTTTTAACGATACCACTTGCAAAACAAGATTTGGGAACAAACCTTAATATAACAATTAAAATTCAAACAGAGTTCTGCAAGGCCGTTCTTTACTCGACTGTACAAATTGTAAAGTAACGATAAGTCACTGATCCTATTCTCATCCAGCAATCCAGTTAATCCTTTTTGTAAAATACTTGAAATATGCTCGGATAGTAATTGTTTTTCAACTGTGTATATTAGCGTCCATCTAGAACAACAATTATTTATCTTAATAAATTCGAGTTTTCTGTAAATAAAAATTACTCGGAATTAAAATGTAGATACATACTTAGAGGACGAATCAAGATAGTGTAATAATCTTTCATTTTCTTCCTGCAAGCGTTTATCAACGTGGGCTAAGTACTCAGGAACATCATGTTCATTCATTAGCCTTTGACCCTCTGCAGCATATAATCTTTCTGTAGCCAGCAGGAACCTGTTGACAAATGTCAGGATAATATTTAAGTAATCGTAAAGTTAATATTTGATAATACATATCAAGTATTTTATTATTATAGGATATATATATTGGCATACTTCATTTGGAAGGCTTGTTCGTAGATTTGCAAATCAGATAACATCCGCAGCAGAGATTTCAAAAGCGTTCGGTCAACGGTGTCACCTTGACGCTCCTTCTCTATTAGCATCAAAAGTCCTTCAACCGTACGTGTTTGTACTAAATTATTTAAAGCGATATGACATCTAAACAAGTTTAAGCCCAAATCCCTATAAAAATAAGATTACAGATATTACTAATAATATATGCAGAAAAAAATTAAGATACGATATCTGTATCACAAGATAAACTATATTAGATTATATTAATTAACTCACCAAATCGAAGGAATACTAGGATTTTGTAACACATAAGTCCTATCTAGATATAGAAAGATACTTCTAATCATAATCATTTGTCGGCAATGCGACTGCCAGCACTCGTTCATCTTCTTTAAAAAGATATGCCTATCCATGGACTCCGCTAAGAACTGCTCGACATTAGCTTCAACATGTGATTCCATCAATTTTGTTAATTTTGTGTATAGTGTGGATGCCATTTTATGATTACACATATTTTCTACAGCCTGATAAAGTTCTTCTAACGAATAGTGGATGCTTTTGCTAGTTTGAATGGCCACCACTGCCTCTCGTAGCTTCTCCCATGTTTGTTCCTGATAATTTTCTGGTAACTTTGGCTTATCTGTAACGTAGAAAATATTAAGAAATATAATTGAAACTTTCACGGACAAAATGACAGGCTGCCAAGTAAGAATAATGTATCCACTATAGAATTTTTTCGGAGTAAACTATTAACGTAAGACCATAAAAATAAACACGTCAGATATTAAATATACTTTGGCTCTTAAATATGCCTAATTATTGATATTTCGATTACTTACCTCCAGGGTTATTTACTCCTCACCTGTTTCACTAGATTTCCCATTTAACTCTAACTTTACATCGATAAAATGTTAATGCATTCCATAAAAAAAAATCACATTTTGTTGACAAACATTTGTTTCAAATTCTTCACACCAAAACAGCATCCTTCGAGACGCAGAACTAACGAACTCATGACTCGATGTCAAGCGTACCGTGTCAAACGAATTGTCAACATATACATTCCTTAAAGTACAGGAAATTTGCTACAACCATATCTCACAGTCTCCAAACGCTAACTACCAGCATAAAGTCCAGAATCCCTAACCGTATACCTTCGACAAGGTAAACCTCTACGGTAACCGATCGACAAGCCCAGCTTACAAGTTTGTCATTGAGTCGAACAGCCAGAAACTTGACTTATCGCTAACATAACGCAGGGAAATATGTGAAACAGGGTGAAAAGAGGCTTTCGCAACCGTGGAGGCAAGTTGCCAAGTGTAAACGAGACGTTGGCTCAGGATCGTTCCCACGGTTTCGAGGTTAGGTTCCCCTAGAGTCCCTTACTCTTAAAGTTTTTGATGACGAGTTTTTTGGCCGATCCTGGCTTCGCGTTGGCCAGGCTCGGCGAGATCTTGTTGACTCCATTAGGATTTGCGACAGTAAGGGCCGAAAAGTTGGCCCGCTTTTGGGTGTTGGTCGCAGCCGCGGTATCGGTCATGTTCTCGATCTCGTCGATTTTGGAGGCCGTAGCCGAGTGTTTGTTCCGCTTCGCGAATGTGAACACCGTGTGGTCACCAGAGGCCGACCTCTTCCCTTCTACCGTGGTCAGAAGCTGGGTTCTTCCGAGCCTAGACATATGCGCGCATCACCCGGCCCTCGGCCCTCAGCGCACAATAAACCCGCTTTTACACGAGAAACGCCACGAAACTCTCTCCGTATCCCTCTTTTGCTGGACCCGACAAAATGTTATTACTCCCGACTCCGCTTATGACGGGATTCGCGAACAATTGCTACTCTCTGCGCATGCGCTCCTCTGCCTACCCGGCGCTCTCCGCACCTTGCGCACGCATCGTGGTGAATCTCGTTTGAATTACTACGTCTCCATCGTACTGCTAAATCCAAGATTTATCGGATCCGGCTCCAGTGAATCGCATGCCTTATCGCGTTTAAAACGATCTTGGCGTTTCTCGAAGCTTCCTGGCCATTGCTCGAGTTTCTGATCTTTGCATCGTCATGGCACTTCTTATTTAATGGCTGATTTTAAATTCTTTTCAACTTTTACGAATTTTCAGGTAAAGGTGTTAATATTCCGACGATCAGGCCTGTAAACGTGTTGAGGCTGTGAGGTTATAAAGGATAAATAAACATTTCGATTGTATACGCATATGTATGGGCAGATATTTATTTAAACAAGTCCGGGATTCCAGACGTTTCGGAATACCGGCACCTAGGAAATATCAGTATTCAGAGGTCTTTCCACGACGTTATTGTAGATCAATGTATTATTGCGTATTTTTATTGTTTAATGTCATGTTCTTGACAATCGGGTTTTTCATGTAACGCCTCTAGTGGGAGATAAAGGAAACATTCGGCGCGCGCATCTTGCGACATGACCGATCTGTGATCAACTGCGAGTCAATTTGAAAAATCGAGTAGAGGTTGTGCCGGTTTTAAATCAATTTGACATAATGCCTCCGAAAAAAGGATCGGGGGGTGCAAAAGCTGGAAAATCCAAGGGCGATGACAGCGAAAAAGGTAAAACAGAAAAGAATGGAGGAACCGCGGTTAAGGTATGTCCAGGTACATTAATGATGCATCCTAACCTATAAACCCCCCGAGTTTATATGTAAAGTTAAATTTTTAATGAAATTGAAGAATTTGAGATTTATTTGTAGGTGAGACACATTCTATGTGAAAAGCAGTCGAAAGTAATGGAGGCGATGGAAAAACTGAAAGCCGGGCAAAAGTTTAACGAAGTTGCAACGGCATACAGTGAAGACAAGGCTCGGTCAGGAGTGAGTTCTTATTATTTCTTATTATCTATTTGTTACTTAACCGTAAACAAAATACTGTTAACAGATGTTTTGAAAGGTAAGAGAGGAGATCAATAAGTGTTTAATTTTTGTATGGGTGATGATAATCGTTTTAATTATATTTAGGGCGATCTGGGTTGGATGACGCGTGGGTCGATGGTAGGTCCATTTCAAGAGGCTGCATTTGCTCTACCCATTTCTAATTTAGGATCTCCAGTTTATACAGATCCTCCGGTTAAAACAAAATTTGGGTATCACATTATTATGGTGGAAGGCAAAAAATAGAGTTGCCTTATTATTATGTAAATATTTATACCGATTCCTATTAAGTATATTTTTTAATGTTTTGTCCGATAGTTTGGACAAGGAACATATTAATATATAAAGTACTACGTAATTACCAAAAAAATATATTTCTTCACATGTACATTATTATCAAAAGTTAGTTTCCAGTGATAAACTAATGCTAAATTAAATCCTTCGATCATATGTATATAATTATAACATAACGGTACTCATTTTCATTCACTTTACATGATATTCAAGAAGAAATTAATGAAGATGTGACATCACTAAATGAGAATGAAAAGACATAATGTATTATAATAGCAATAAATATAATGCTTATACATGCTACTCAGTCGCTTCTCTTAATTATGTTGCTAGCGAACAGTTCTCGATGTACCACTAAACATTTGTTTGGATTTAACAAAGTGTACAAAGAGAATGAATTAGACATAAAAGTTTAAAGTCACAAAAGTAAATCAACATATGCCGCGATATAATTTCCACGCAACTCAAAAGATTGAAGTTCGTGAATTGTCGACTATTCATCTAAGTTATGCTGTTCTTATAAATGTTTGTAATTTGTACACTTGTATTTGATACTTCTTCATCAATTTATAAGATTTGATAGTGTGACGAGGGAATGTATCTAACCTTAGAACCATTTTCACCATTTAGACACGAATATTAGGATTGGTGAAACGAACATATTTAAGAAGAGAGTCGTTCTCTTCGCACACCCATGGTTTCTTATGGTGACAAGCAACATCATGCCAATTGACTCCATCATTGTAGAATTGATTAAGAAGAGCCAAGCAATTCTCAGGAGCACCTCCCTGGATGGCTTCGCGATTATCAGGCTGTGGCTTTCCGATACTAAAAAAGATAAGCATTTGTATTTGCAATTAATATATGAAGCGTGCTAATAATGCATTTATCACTTGTTCGCTATTTTTCTAATCTTCTCGTAATATGTTCGTTAAATTGTAGAATAACTTACCCGCCACTTTCCGACCAATCGTTCTGATTACGGTCAGTCGTCGGTGCAAGCTTTTGAAGTTCTGCGGTCCAAAACCAACCGTTGACATTCAGGGGCTGAAGATCAGGTCTGTCGCAGCCCTTGAAGTCGCATAAACGTCCAGAAGTCCAAATATACTTGACTTTGTCTATAATTAAGATCAGTAATTAATATTTATAAGTAGAATAGGCGTTACAGATATAGTAGTCAAAGAATACATTTGGTTTTAGAGAGGACCGGAAGACTAGTCCGCTGTACAGTACATTTTTAGTTAAAAGGTATATTAACAAACCGTACTTTGAACAACACGGCTCTTGATAAATTCATTTTCAGCAGACGTCTCCAGGGAAACAAGATCCATGCAACGCTGTCTGCAGAAGTTTCTACCAGCAAGCCAGTCTACTTCTTGTCCGCTAGTTCTTGGATCAGCCCAAGAATAATAGTAGCCTTTTCCATTAAAACGTTCATGAATCACTCCTGAAACATTGTTTAAATATTACTTAACGTTAAATTTGAAATACTTAGTTGTTAGTAGGGGCCAGCATTAACATTCTTACAAGATAGTTTTTTTCTTTTAATTAATATGCATGTATTCATTTGAAGGTAGAGGAAATTAAGGTGATATGAAAGGGTCATTCTATATATATAAAGCGTCAAAATGTTCATAAAATTGTTCTCCGAACTGGGTGCACCGAATCACTTGAAACTTCAGCACGTGATTATGGGGCCCTGAGGAAGAACGCCATGCTTATGAAATTTAATTTTTCAAACGATAATGTGTCCTTGGTTCTAGTTTGGGATGAATAAAAATTGTTTGTTTGAAAAATGAAATTTCATGAGCATCGGGTTCTTCCGTAGAATCCCCATAATCACGTGCTAAAGTCTCAAATCATTCGGTGCATCCTGTTTGGAGATAAGTTTTATCAATATTTTTATATTATATATATAATGACCCTTTCATATCACCTTAATGAAGGTACTTATCACTGTTGGAAAGATTAGTAACGTGTCGAGCATCTGCCGTACCAAGGGAACTTTCTCCAGACGTATTTACTTTGGCGATCACACCCGACTTTGTGTAATATTCGAAAAATGTCGTTTCCGCGGCGACACACTTCCCGATTAGGTGTTTTATTATTTCAGGAAAGTTTCTCTTCTTGATGCGAATGGGATAGAGAAAAAGGCCGTTAATTGCAATCGTTAAATGCGAACCGCAGGGGGACGACGGTTGCTGTCTAGACGTTACAAGAATGAAGAATTAAGGAACTCTTACCGCGGAAAAGCCGCGGGAGAAAATCTTATTTCTATTCAAGAAGATACGAAGAAAGTCGTCGTTTAAAGGAAACTGAATGGCCGAGGTATCTCGGACACTTTGGAGTGAAACTTGAGAAATGATTGTCGGCGCTCATGACTCATACCGGACACTGGCCACGACCCAGACATTGGTGTGGCAAATTTAATGCTCTCCGAAAACACTTCTGTATAAAAAAAAAACCTCGGCAAGTACATGGTCGTCGCGAATCTCATAAAGAAAAAACTATTTAGATCCACATTATGCTTCTACCTAAATTCAATATCCTACGAAAACACTTCTGCGTAAAAAAAAAAAACCTCCCCAAGTACACTGGGAGACATCAATGCCCTCCCATCCTGCACAGGCGATGTCGTACCTGCAGGGGAGGCATTCATGTCCACAATATACACTGGGAGACATCAATGCCCTCCCATCCTGCACAGGCGATGCCGTATCTGCAGGGGAGGCGTTCATGTCCGCCATTGTACATGGTCGTTGCGAATCCCATTAAAAAAAAAAAAAGAAAAAGAAAAAGTATTTAGATCCACTTTATGCTTCTATTTAAAAAAAAATACCGAAATCAAAGCACAAAGCCAAGTGCATACCTCTGGAAGTATCTACTCCTTATATAATCCGGCATTAGTTTATCATTCTTTTTTCATTTACGAACTTTAATGCCTTCACTAGTTTTATGTTATTACTGCAAATTACATTTAAGTTTTGCCAATCGGATCCTTATCTCTGTCCTCCACTGAAGCGAATTCTAAACGACATTGGCTCTTACGTGACGTTAAGAGGAAGAATTTGATTAAAAATGAAATGAAGAGCCGATTCACTTCATAAATCGACGAGAAGTCTCGCACTGGGCCACTATCAGACTTTGTATAATCGTTGAAGAGTATAATTTTATTTTCTGTACTTTATATGTTATATTAGAAAAAAAAAAATTGTTTTTAAACAGGCAGCTAAACTCTTTTAGCGGAACCGGAAGGACGACCATCCCGACCTAGACATTGGCTCGTTCCAAATTACCTACGACGCCCGGCGAGGACTTTCCTCAAATGTAGAAGATGAAAGTTCGTTCTCGGCTGCTTGGAAGGAACTTGACACGAATACCGATCGCCCCGAGAAAAGGCTCCGCGAATGTCGGTAAAACCTCGGTTTTTACTTGACCCTTGCTTAACCGGCACACTTTTCACGGGCGTGTTCCCTTACGAATTATGCGAGCGAGAAAGTAAGACCGAAGCTCATGACTCCAATGTCGAACGACGGCTTACTTTCTACACTTCTATACGAGGACAGGAATATCGATACGAGGCGTATGTTAATACAATAGGGACTAGAAAAGAAATTTCTCCTAGCCGAATCGGTATCGAGTAACGGTAGCATAACCCGTAAGTAGCTTATGGTATGCATAATTGATCTTCTCGACTTTGAGTAATTATTCTCTTGACATTACTTTGTGCACATAACGCCGGAACCGGAGGTTCCAAAATTCTTCCCGCAGGTTGAGGCTGGAACTGGGCCGAAGCTAGGACAGCCAAACTGCCAAGGACGAGAAGTCGGAACATGTTTGCAGGATTATTCTGAAAAAGAAAAAAAAACATGTAGACAATTAATGAACCTTCCTTGACACGTTTGAAGTAAAGAATACTATCTGAAGGTATAGTTAGATATTTTCTGGACGGAGCAGTAGTTTCGGTAATTATTCATTCATTCGAGAGTAGTCCTCGTCGGCAATGTTTCTTTCTATTCTTTTTTTTTTTTTTACGGTGGTATAAATTAATTAGTTAAAATTGTTTGACCATTTCGCCCCAGTAGTTCGGTTTAATATGGCGTGGCAGAGTAAACCCTAGTAGCAAAGAACAACTTCGAAATATTTTTTTGTAATCTTTGTTGAATATCTTAAGCGACAGATTTTGCTAAGATGCCTTGTGGATTTCATTCTAAGATATCTGAAATATTTGTTTGTAATCTTTGCTGAATATCTCAAACGACAGATTTTGCTAATATGCCTTGTGGATTTAATTCCAAGATATCTGAAATATTTGTTTGTAATCTTTGCTAAATATCTCAAGCGACAGATTTTGCTATGATGCCTTGTGGATTTCATTCTAAAATATCTGAAATATTTGTTGAAAGTCTCAATGACATGTTTAGGTTTAATAACTTATGAACACGTGTAGGAATTACATTTTTCTAAATTTTGTGAACATATAATAAAAATATGTTTTACTCCCCGATTGTTATCGGACACTTCCTTTGGTATCCAAAAACACGACAAATTTTAATAATATTTTCGTTCCGCTATTTTATTGTGGGAGCAAAACGTGTGATTTTGATTTCAAATATTTTGTTTAAAACGTTTATAATCTGTTCGGCAGATAATATTTAAAAAAAAATACATATATTAAAATGAAACGAAATGTTTTGTATATCTGTTAGAAAGATATTATGAAAACACGTAGAGCTAATATTATCCAAATATTATAAAGATAATATTCTAAAGTAAAGGTATTGTAAATATTTCAAATGTCTGCTAAATATTGACAAAATGTACGATATTCGTTAAGTATATAGAAAATATAGGACAGATATTTTATGCTACTAGGGATTTCTGAGAGGTAATGCTCCTCCGAAAGTGCAACACTGAAAATCCTCCCTTTCGGCGACCGGAAAGGCCGCATTCCCCGAAGACTTAAGGACGGGCCATTAAATAAGGACCTTTTTAATTACATTCAGCCGGGATGTTCTTAAGCCAAACCTCGGGTGGTCAACTTTCTTTCAAACCGGTTCCTACGGTCCCGATGCTCCACAAGGCGAACCTTTCCCAAACAACTCGCCCAAAAGGAGACCGGAATGTTCCCGGATGCTTTAACCGCGAAATTTTTATTAAAATATATATTATATAAATTAACATTTTTAACTCCCACGCAAACTAGTAATCAAATGTAGAGAGTCATTACGAATAAGAAGATACATAACATTTAACAAATGGATCTCGTCCGTGAGAGCTCGCACAGAGCCGTTAGGACACACACATACATCGGTTACTATTTGGTGTTTAATAGTCTCAAGCACTTTAGTACTAACTATGATTATGTTGGTTGAATTAAATGCTTAAAAAAAAAAAAAAAATCGCGAAACCAGATCGTCGAGCGTTAATATCTGGCCGATTCCCTCGATATTCAAACCTAGACGTCACATGATTGTTGGTTGAATTAAACGCTTAAAAAAAAAAAAAATCGCGAATCCAGATCGTCGAGCGTTATACCTGGCGGATTCCTTCAATATTAAAACCTAGCCATCACATGATTGTTGGTTGAATTAAACGCTTAAAAAAAAAAAATCGCGAAACCAGATCATCAAGCGTTATACCTGGCCGATTCCCTCGATATTCAAACCTAGACGTCACATGATTGTTGGTTGAATTAAACGCTTAAAAAAAAAAAAATCGCGAAACCAGATCGTCGAGCGTTACATCTAGCCGATTCCCTCGATATTCAAATCTAGACATCACATCTTTTAACTCCCACGCAAACTAGTATCAACCGCGAAACTCCGACTGAGCACTTGAAAAACATTATCACGGTACTTACAAGGAAGGTATCCCAGGTCGATCTCTCCGATTTGATTTCTTTTATAATATGTTACAGTAGACTAAAAACTAAGCGACACGTATTTTTTCTTATCTGCCATTAAATATTTTAAGGGGGTGAAACCACCATCCAAAGTAAGGCATGACAAGGGGCGATTTGGTAGTTTCACCCACGATAACATATTTTTTTAACCAATCCACCAGAAGCATTCTCATAACGAGAAATGAAAGATATAACTTTCTCAATTAAAAGAAAAAAATTAAGGGGTGCACCACCCCTCACAGGCCTTGCTTTGGATGGTGGTTTCACCCCCTTAAAGTGTTTAATGGCAGATATAAAAAAATACGTGTCGCTTAGTTTTTAGTCTACTATAATATATTATAAAAGAAATGACATCGGAGAGATCGACCTGGGATACCTTCCTTGGTAGAAATGATTTTAAAAGCGCCCTTTAGACAAGCAGATTTTCTTCTCCTCGCGCTCGAATCTCGAATTTCTCTGGATCCTCATAATTCTTAACTCGTATTCCTTTATGCGGATACAAATTTAACACACTTCGAGGTTCAGATTTTGCGAGAGAATTGCAGAAACTTTTGCGCCGGGGTGGAGTGTATTTTCGAATTCTTTCGGATAGTGGAGGCCCGGCCTAAAGAGGACGCTTTTGGGGGTCGGATGCTCACCTAGCAACGTTCACCAGAGAACTGCAGCGCTTTCTTCGGCGCCACCCCTATATATACACAACGAGGACACCTCGTACCATTACTTTTACGATCGTCGTCCGTATTTTCGGCGCGATTTCCAATATACGATTTCGTCGGTCGACCGATAATGTTTCGCACCGAGATCATATCGGGTAGAAAGCCCTCTTCCGAGGTACACTTGGGCGAGATCTTGTGTCAACGTGCACCTCCCTTTTTACACAAAAGACGAGACGAACAAAAAAAAAATCGGCGGTACTCCTTTCGAGCGACTCAAATAAATGAACTTTCTCGTCCCACGATGGATATTCTAACGACTTATCGTAATTACACTACCTGGATGTGCGCAATTAAGGTGACATGAAAGGGACATATATATGACATATATATATACATATCAAAACGTGAACATATTTATTAAACTTTTCTCCAAACTGGGTGCATCGAACTATCTGAAACTTTACCACGTGATTGTGGAGACCCTAAGAAAGAACGTATGTTTGTCAAATTTCATTTTTCGAAAAGAAATGCCTTTTTTGGTTCTTGTCCGAGATAAATACACATTTTTTTTAGAAAAATGAAATTTCACGAGCATCGCGTTCTTACTCAGGGCCCTCATAATCTCGTAATGAAGTTTCAAATGAATCGGTGTACCCTAATTGGAGAAAAGTTTTATCAATACTTTGACTTTTTGGTATGTATATGTAACACTTCATGTCACCTTAAGGCGCCGTGTACTCTGTTAAAAAAGAACATATGGAAATTTTATAAAAGTTTCCTTGGAAGTTTTATTCAGATATGGTGCACTGATTTATAATGTTTCCAAAGAACTTTTATAACATATGTAATAAATTTAATTCATAAGTGTGCTCAATTTGTTACGAAGTTTCACGAACTTCCTGATATGACGTTGAAAAATTACAGATTCATTTTGAAGTTTATCATAAGTGTATAATGTATTCACTGTTGAGATGTGAATTATATAAATTTAATAATATTATGTTTAACGGTGCTGTGCATTCGTATCTTGAAATGTACGATCCAAATACATCTCCAAAGATCTTTTATAACATGTTATAAATTTAATACATAAGTGTGCCCATTTTGCTAGGAAGTTTCACGAACTTACTGATATGACGTTGAAAAATTCCAGATCTATTTTGAAATTTATCATAAGTGTATAATGTATTCACTGCTGAGACGTGAATTTTATAATTTTACCATAATCTTATGCGACAAAAGCGTATGGATTTTATGAATATTATATCTAACAGTGCTATGCATTCGTATATTGAAATGTACGATCGGTACGTGGTCTCATGGGAATATACAAATAGGACGCAAATGACGTAATCAGCTTTGACAAAAGTCCTCCAGAAGAATGTAAGGAGGTGTTTCTTCGGAATAAGTTAACTTTCTCGCCGGTCTTATCAGGAAGCGTGATTGTACGCCGGCAATTCGCATTTACAATTGCTCGTACAAAAGTAATAAGGCGTAGCGATGAAACCGCGAAGGAGGAAGCTGTGCTCCCTCTTGCATGCAAATTTAATCTTTTTCTCCGTTTTCTCGTGATCCTCGGTGTTAAACGATAAGAGTTTTAAACGCTGCCGAAAGTTAATAAAATCAGCCCGGCCCGAATGTAACAAAAAAAAATCGCTTTCGGCGAAATATACACACACGATGTCCGGTTTTTGGAATTTAATTTCGTCGAAATCGTTTCCCCGAGGTGTCGGGGCATTTAGAATATTTCGAATTCTACTTTCGGTTTTCACCAGACCGTAATGAACGTCACGATAATTAACATTCGAATTTCTCATTTCATTAGCGTCCTTGAGTCAGTCCAATACGTTTGTACGTTAAATGCGCACCAGGTGTTGCAAGAAGTGGAAACAAAAGGAAAATCAATTACCCATAGAAGCGTAGTTTCCTTCAGTTGCTTACGCTTTCCCTTAAGTTTCGACATTCGGCAGAATTTATAAAATATTTCCTTCAATTATAGTAGGAGACATTTGATACGGCAATTCATTTCCTTTCGTTTTCCAGGTTTGGCAATTACCCGGTGACGTCTCGTTGTTACGGCGGGTGTCCCATAAATAGATGATTCCCCCGAATCTGTATTCCGGTCGCTAAATGTTAATTCACAATTCTCGAGTATTTCTGTTTGACAGGACGCGAGAAAACTCAGACTTTCGCTTACACACCCTCGGAATCTTAAAGAGCCGACATCCTCGGAATCCTACTTCTGCCTAAGGAATATCTCCAGCTCGCGTAGCTTAATGCCTAATTAAATCCCAAACATCCTGAAGAGATTCTTCGGTTGGCGCAGGAAAAGGAGCTCGCCGAGAAGAATTTGAAAAATCTGTTAATTCTCTGTCCTCTGTCCCATCCGATGGGTTTATCGTTAACTCATGGGGGTCATCGACCTCGTTCGTTGAACCTTTATACTAGAAAAGGGAAACGAAGGTAGTTTTAGGAGGTTTTCATTAATCCTCGTCGATGGAATTATTTGTCTAAAAAATCTTTCTAATCTACGTACATTATATTTAGTTAATCTTCTGTTCTCTGCCCCATTCGATGGGTTTATCATTAACTCATGGGGGTCATCGACCTCGTTCGTTGAACCTTCATACTAGAAAAGGGAAACGAAGATAGTTTTAGGTTTTCATTGAACCTCGTTGTTGAAATGATTTTTCTACAAAAATCCTTCCAATCTATGTACATTATACATGTACGGATTTAACGCCGTTTAAATGAACAGCTTCAATTAATCGCTGGCAAAACCTTGCCTTGTTCGTTGAATCCTGATACTAGAAAAGGGAAACGAAGATAGTTTTAGGTTTTCATTGAACCTCGTTGTTGAAATGATTTTTCTACAAAAATCCTTCCAATCTATGTACATTATACATGTACGGATTTAACGCCGTTTAAATGAACAGTTTCAATTAATCGCCGGCAAAACCTTGTCTAATGGGATTTTGGCAAATGGCGGGTAATTAGCGTAACCCAATATGGACATGGCCAGAAAATATTCCAAAGTACCGTTCGATGCCATTATGTGTTCATCATGTGTTCGTTATGTGACTGACCCAGAACCATTGACCCGAGTGCTACTTAAGTAAAAACGGCAAACTTCTCCATTAAGGTGGATCAAAGCAAACGAGTATTTTTACTCCGCATTGTTTATGCCGGATATTTGTCCTGTAATGAAATTCATCGTAAATCTATCGTAATCCGATAGAAGATCGCTAACGAGGTCTACTCTTAAGTCAGGGTGATACTGCGATGTTAATTTACCTTGAAATAAAATTGAATATGTGTACAGAGAGTACATTAATTGCCCTAGGGTAATAGAAATTGTGGAACCTGATTTACTGCCGATTTCAACGAGCCATTGAAAGTCCACTTCTTGTAGTAATGCAGCTAGGGTAGTTAAAATAAATCTCTTATATACGTATATATATTACGAGTAACCAGTAACACGTGGGAATTGACCGGAGTACCTGTAACGACTTCATTCGAGTAATAGTATCGTAAAATTTAATTCCCTCCTTATTAAGTAGAAAACCTGGGTGGATTAAGTCAGTACTGTTAAGAAGCTAATTATAACCGGTACAGTTTGAATTTTCCCGCATTTTGCCCGGGATGTAACGTTAGCTGCATTTGGATGCATGGAATTTGCAGCACTTGTAGGCATAGAAAAAGTACAAAAGGCTAGGAAACTGATCACTGATAGGTTGAGTAGATTGTCTTTCTTGTTATTAAGTATTTATCTGAGGCATAGAATTCGATTAGTTCTAAGGTGTGTTTGATTTTTGGTCGTGATATTGGGATGGCGAGGTTTGAAATTTCCCGCGCCCTAGTGTGAGATTCGACCGCAAGGGCGAAGTGGCGCTATCCGTCAAGCATGCGTAAGACTAGCAGAACACTTTTTAACATATAATATCTGAAATTTATGCAAAATGTTCATAAAATAATGTCGTGACACGTATAATTCCGTGCTGCTTCCGTTGATTAGCTCGAAAGTGGACTCGAGTAACGTTTCCATCTCTGAGAGAGGAAAAAAGAAGAGTTAAAAGGGTACACTCGCAGATCCGCGGAAGCAACATGTCCGCCCTCCGATTGGCGTCCTCGCTGATCTTTTGTTTACCAAGAATTCTTGCGAGAGCGAAACCTTAAGATGCCGGAGAATTAACAACTCGATAATGACCAGTGCCGTGAATATACTATCCCATTGTCCCAACGAATGATGACGGAGCCGGAACTTTGCCGGCTGTGTGCCGAAACCAAAGATACTTTCATTGGGATTTACGACGCCGAGGGCCAAAAGTTGGGGATTGAGAGCAAAATTGCTAAGTGTTTGCAAATCCAGGTGAGCACTGTGCTACGACCGCAGAAAATCTTTGTTTTCGGTTCTCCTTGGGTACTGTTACCGAAAGTAACGCCATACAGGTACTTTTCGAACTCCTAGTGCCTCCAATTAACGTACAGGAATAGCCCAGTAGATTAATCAGCTTAGTTGATTATTTGGAATGGTCAAAGATCCTATCGGTTTTTTAAGTAGCGTACTTCTACTTTTAGTTATGTTCTTTATAAAGGCAGCATTGTACGTATTCTTTTTATGTAATGTAACTTTTTTTTTCAATTTTCTTCTAGGTTGTTATCACTGATGGTTTACCGTTGTCGATATGCATCGATTGTTGCACCGTCTTAAATCAATGCAGTGAATTCTATGAGAAAACAAATCAAGCGCAAGATTCACTCCGCCAATTATTAATAGACCCAAAGTCTGAACCGTCGCAATTAGAGCCGAACCTAGACTATGTGGAAAAATCCATAGAATTTCCCAAAGAAGAAGTCACCGAGGGAATTGTGAATTGTCATTTGCCTGATAACTATGTTAGCGATTCGGTGAATGATATTAGCGATACTTACTTTAATGATGACAATAATGAAAGCGATCCTGCCAAATATAAGATAGAGGAAATGCAGGAAGTTGTTAAAGAAAAGTCATGTAAAACCTCGGAAAAGAAGAACTTGCCTAAGCAAACCAGAAGGAGACTGAAAAAGAAAACACAAGCACAAAAAATGGAGGACTTGGAGTTGGACTTAACATCTAAGTTGGAAGAAGAACAGGATGACACGGAAAGTTTGAAAGTTAACATAAAAATTCCGGAGAATTATATGACAGGTAAGAAGTCGAGAGCTTCATCTACATATTCATATTCATCATATGTTAAATTAAATAAATAATTTAAAAATTGTGATTGTGTATGGAATCATTAGTTTGTGTACATTACACATGAGATGTATTTTTTTTTTTAATTCAGGTACCGAGTCAGACATGAAAATAATAGAGGCTCGAGCTGCAGAACCTCCTAAACCTGGACGCAAGAGAGCAAAGGATCTTGTTCGATATCCTTGGCTTTGTACCGATTGCAATGATAAACTACCAAGTTTAGAAGCATTAGAGGAACATCATGAAACAATACATAATCAACAAGCAAAATACATGTGTGTTCAGTGTTGTAAAGTTTATGATAAGTACTATGGATTTCTTACACATGTCAAACGGCATAAAAACAAATCAAAATTCAAGTAAGTTGCTTATTTGTTAAAACCATAAAATCAGTTACAGATCAGCGCAGACGTTCAGTAAAAATTTATATTCAATGTTCATTTTAATATATTTTGTACAGTTGTGAGGATTGTGGAAAGTCCTTTGTTCACAAAAAGGTTTTAGATTCACATAAAATCGTTCACAGTGAAGAGCGCCCACATGTTTGTCAAACGTGTGGAAAAGCATTTAGACAACAAAGTGCTTTGTATATACACAGTCGATGTCATTTACCAGAGACCATGAAGAATCGATTTCCCTGTGATCAATGTGACAAAAGGTAAGGTGACACATTGTAGTACAAAATTATAAATCGGATAGGAACACTTAAAGTAAAATGTGATTTTTCAGATTTTCGACAAAACCTAATCTAGTTACACATAAACGTATTCATTCTGGCGTTAGAAATTTTACCTGCGACCAATGTGGTAAAAGTTTTATACAGAAGGGAAATTTGGAGGCTCATTTCTTAACGCATTCAGCTGATAAGCCTTATAGCTGTTCGCAATGTTCGAAAGCGTAAGAAAACTAATCGATCACATTTAAGTATCTAGTACTATTTCTTCTGTCAAATTAGTTATGAAAATAAATTTTCTTCTAGATTTAAGACACCATTGCAATTGAAAAAACATGAAACAGTCCATACGGGTGCTAAGCCACATCAATGTGCTGTATGTGGACGCACATTTAGAGAGAAGGGAACCTTGAGAGAACATCATAGAATTCACACAGGAGCTATGCCATTTACGTGTGAATTCTGTGGAAAGTGCTTCCGCTTCAAAGGAATTTTAACAGTGAGTAAGAGTACAAGTATTATAAAAAATGTATATATCCTCTAACAAGTATTAATTGAACTTCATCGATTCAGTCAAAATAATGTATTAAAATATAATTACAGACACACAGGAGACAACATACTGGTGAACGGCCATACAGCTGCTTAGAGTGCCAGCATCATTTTACTAATTGGCCGAATTACAATAAGCACATGAAACGCAGACACGGAATTAATACATCACATACCAAACATTTGCAACAATCCCAACCGATTCAGCAACAACAGCCACAGCCGAATGCACAAGAAAGTCGTCCGGTTGCTGTATCACATACAACTCCAACAACGGTCCAAGTAAGTGGTAGTTTTAGTTATTTCTACTATATCGTACCATACACTATATCAGGAAAATGTCTCATTTGATGCAGAACGGTGTGATGTGGGGCTTTATAAGTAATCAAGTATCATAATTGATTAATGCCACACATATGATTATCTGTTGACTCTTTCTTTGATAGGTAATCCAAACTGTGCCACATGCAACAGTTGCCCAACCAATTGTTGTGCAAACTATTCCTACCACAGCTATTCAAACTTTTCAGACGGACATTCCAGTCACTGTTCAAGACACAGTGTTTCGAGAGCGAAACACTACATACTTTAATGCTGTCCCAGCTGCGTTGCAAAATTTTTTACCCCCAAATTTGCCATATAATTTTTACAATATCTCAAACGTGACGGAGAATGATTTAATTCAGCACAGATAAGGTTAAGAGAGCAGTACTCTTTCAGAGACGAGTGAAAGGCGAAGGATCGAAAGATTGTTCAAAAGTGAACTTTTATCTTCCAAAAACAGCTTTTGTGGAAAGGTAAAGAGTTGTGATAAATAACTTATTATTTGCTTTCATTCCTATTGTGTTTAAGCACCAAATCGCAATGTTCAAATCAAAATTGCTATGTGGATTACATTACACTTTTTTTTTTCTTCAACACGTGATTCAGTGGTTTATTAGAATTGAAAAGCTACAGAAACATAATCATAATGGAATCATGAGATTTTATAATAACTTATGTGGAAGGCGGCATCGTCGACTGCACATTTATTCGATCATTTCATAAAGCGATATTTATGTATTTACTCGAGCATATTACTAAAGTAATTATTTTTTTAATCAAGTATACATTTACTAGGTAGACTTTATCTCATATTTGCATATTAATAATCCGCAATATAATTCACAATGTATCATTTTTTTTTTTAAGCACTTGTATTGTATATTTTACAATGAATGCGCGGAAATATTTTTCTTAGGTTTTACGGATTTTTAATTCTGTACGAGTTGTATATACTAAAGACAAATTACGATTAAAATCAAAATCTTTTATATGGCTAATTGTCATGTTGAATATCTGAAATAGTTGAAGATTTGTTAAAAAGATTGCTAAGCATCGAATTAAATTTAAGTAAAAAATCATTTGGGTTATATGAGTGACAATATGTGATGAGTGTCGTATTGAAATATACCAAAAGATTGCGGCAACTGTGAACAAAAAGTGAACTTTTAGGTAGTAAGCGCAGTCTAAGCTTTAAGTTTTAACAATTGGTTAGTATTGAGAATACGTGCTTAATAAAACCAATAGAAAATTTGTTCAGAAAGTATTACGTATATAGATTAGGATTAGATTGCGGTTCAACACTGATGAAATGAGCTAATAATCTATTATTTTTATGTTATACAAACGTTTTTCCAGAGTTCATTATCCGTGCTGACTTATTGGAGAACACGTTCACCGCCTATGTTACAGTTTTACGTATTTTATTTTTTATCATCAGTTTGGCCGTAATCTATCGCACACATCACTTTTTTTTTTAAAGTTATACACCTGAATCTGCCTGTCTAAACATATCTTAAGTTTATTATTTACGCATTTTAATGACTGAATCATTATCAGATAACTTCCAGAGCTTCGTTCACATACTCCATACGTTCGCTGACCTTATTACCTAATGTAATTATATTTGACTACAGTACGATAGAAAGTGTCTCTTATTACACCGATAAGTATTGTCTTGGAAAATAAAAGTTTGTAAACTCTATCATTGCATGTCAATCATGTATCCACATTATTTATCCAGAAGCTTATTAATATATTGACGAGCAAGTTACAGTCATAGGGAAAAGATTATTTCTCGTGACTACCATTTTAAATACACAATTTTAAAGGGTGCACTTTATAAAGAAAGAAAATTAAACGTTAATAAACAAATATCTTGTATTCTTTGTACATACGGTAAGCGAGGGTACAACAGCTGACAAGTTATAATAGAGTAATAAAATAATGTTTTACAGTAACTTGGGTCATACGTTTCGAGGACTATGTGAAAGCTATGGGAGAAATGAGCCTTGGGATCTCCTGACTACTATATTTAAGATAATTCTTTAGTTATTAAGCGACATTTCGAAATCCTCAATTTCCTCTAATTCGTCTGCGTGCAGCAAATCTGTAATATCTTCGTCTTTATCAAATTCGGTAAATAATTTGCCCAGATCTACGACGGAATACGCATTCCGCTTCAAGTACTTCTCAACAGTCTCTTTAAGCGTATCATATACTGCAATCACTTCACGTGGCTGTGCTTTTATCAAATCTGATAACAAATGAAATATATATATTATACATTTTGCCAAAGTATTTTAACACACTAGCGACCGGCAAATTTTTTCCGTTTCAAATACCGAGTACCGGGGAAAATAATGAAATTCTGAAACTTGTTGCCGCAAACTTGTATCGTGTATCGTTATGGACGTGATTCACGTCAGCGGCATCAATAGAATTTAAAATGACGTGAATTCACGTCAGCGGTCGCTAATGTGTTAATACAAAACTAGCTTATTCCAGTAATTGGGAGTTGAAATTAATGACAAATCTAAATCCTTGCACGTGAACCAACTTAATGTTTTTTACAAAAATATTTTTTACTCACTTTTACAAACCGGTTGACGTCGGTCAAATAGATGAAGGTAGTAACAGAACTGGGTGTACAGCATAGTTTCAGAATACTAAAAAGAAATAAGTAAAAGTCAAAATATGTTCCATTCCCTTAGCTTAAATAATGTCTAGAATTATAGGAGACTATCGATAAGGACATACAATTCTGTGCATGCAACCATCTTCGCACTCGGTACACTGTGGGTGATTTCCTTCAAAATCTAATGGCAATGATCTCGTTACATAAGAACACAGGGGATTTTCGCACTCCAATGAGCTTCCATAGTATTCGCTAATTACATGCCTGATAGCTAATTGTAACTCGTTTTCAATGGCTTTCGAATATGTCCAAGGTGGTACACGACACTCTTCATTCGAACATGTAGTTAATGAAAACCGAGTACCTGCGGACTGCGAAAAGAAATCATAGTGTAATTATTATTCTTTTAAGGAGCAACTACGTTTAACGAGCCTCAGATCACTTACAGATTTGGTCACAATGTCTTTAACGATGATATCCGTTTGGCACTTCTCATTTCGACATTTGAATTTCAAGGGCACACAGTATCGGAATCTTTCCTCATCGGTTAATGGGATTGCTACCTCATCTTCTCGTTCGTGGATCACTCGTCTGGATTTATAAATTCCATCCAGTCCTGTTTGAAAAAGTAAATTATAAGAAATCATAGTCCAGCAAATGCTGACAATTTAAAATAATAAATATAACAATTTAAAATAATTAACGTAGTAGATGCTCTAGTATGTTTTGAATTTGTTGCAATTGACGAGTTAATTACCTAGATGCGTTGCCAACAGTACGTCGTCGATTGTATCAATTGGATCGCAAAGCCGAATAACAACAGGTAAAACCTGACTTAATAAATAATAATTAACGTCGATCTTTAATGTCTCGCTTCTCTTGTATTCATCGACGCTGTATGCTCTTTCAGTTGCCGATTTATCAGTTCCGTCCTAAGAGAAACGTAAGGAAGAGTGAATTAACTGTGATAATATATCGTAGGACTTTGAAACGATAGAAATGAAATGACGTACATCGCAAATGATGTATGAAATAACGTCTCCGATCTTCCACATTCGTCCACCTTCTTTATTAGATCTAAGGGCAACGTTAACATGAGCTTGTTTCTTGTCAGGGTAATCGTTCGGATTTTTGGAAAGCTGCTTCGTGATAAGTAGGGACTTCAAAGGTACTTTCTCTTCTCTCACGTTTTTGGCAACAGTTTGTAAGATCTCGAATATATTTTCTAGTCGTGTTTCAGTCGACTGGTCGGACAGAAGCTGGTCTAAAATGTTCCTGAAATAATAATTTCACGTATCAATTTAGTCATCGGCATATGTAATGTTAAGATTACAGCTGAATTTTGCTTATCTACCTTCCTGTTTCGCATGCTAATTGGCACCAGTCACGTCTTACAATGTCTAAACCCTTGTGTTCCTGTACCGTTTCTAGTTGTCCATTTGGTAGTTTATTTATTATAACCGCGGCATATTTCTTCTTTTGCAGAAGGAGTAAGTATTTAAACACTCCGTCTATCTCGAGCTCTACTTTTTTGTACAACTTGTTGACCTCTTGCTTAATCTAGATTAGACGTTATCAATCAATTAAATGTTAAGCGTGTCTTTATATTAAAACGTAATTGGCATGCTTTAAAAAAATTACCTTCTTCCCAACAGCGAACACCTCTTCATAATCAAGAATATTCGTATTGATCATGATGGAATCAGTGTCCCCATAAATCACATCATAATTCATGGTTTCGACTAAATGCTTCGTATTTTGTAAAATGTCCCGACCTTTTGCTAAAGTAAGATGGTATAGATTTATGAATAGAAATTGATGTTACTTATTCTTAATTGTAAGTCGTAGAAAATATTCCAATTGACATCGCTGTGCAGTTGTAGTGGTGCCGATGAGCCAGTGTCAATTTTTCTGTCAGGCATATTTCATAATTATAGAATGATTACAGGACATATTTTGATTACCTGTAACTAGAGCTGCTAATCCTTTGGCATAGAAACGACAATGATTAGCTCCGAGGCATCCATACATAGAATTCGCAGTCAATTTCAATGCCATTTGCCTGATATTGTACTGCATTTTTAATTCAGCCGGAAGATTGGGTGTTTTCATCAGCTTTTTTACCTCTACACGACTTTCCACCAGTTTACGAATTTCAGTTGGGACAATTCCCGGCTCCAAATCCGATTCTGGATAACTTAAATCCTAAATTATTGATCATCGATTAAATGTACAAGATTAAATCGATTTTCGTATAGGAATGTTCTTACTTATGTTTTTATTAATCGTTTAGAATCTTAATAATGTACCTTACTGTCAGCATAAGCAGCACCAGGCACGGTTGTAAAACATAGATTATATTCTTGTATAATACTGGGGTACAAGGAATTGAAGTCCATAAGTAATATTAACTTGTCGTAAAATCCCTTTTTCGGTTCTAAAACTAAACCACCAGCGTATGCCGCTTTCTTTCTACGAGGATTATCTGGAAAGAGAAAAGATCTAGTTAATTAAGGAAAAGGGAGAATATTATGAGACGTCAAACGTTAAGCAGAATTTTGTTAGCTTGACCGAACTGATTATGAAACTTACTATTCGCTGTATCATCTTTTCCTTTCTTGTTAAGCCGTTTATCCGGTGTTATGTAATTCTTTTTAAAAAATGCGTGCAACAACAGGTACTCATTTCTCTCCGCTCTGCCAGCTGTCAATGTTCTTGATAAAATATTCCCTAAGATATAACATTTAAACAAACTTTCTTAAGTATAACGTGAAAAAATATAATCGTGTTGAAGAACTTACCAGCTATGCAAGTAATTTGCAATGCAAGTGGCATTACATTAAGATCAAACATGATCGTAATGATGTATGAAGCTTCTCTCATTGTTATACGTATTAGATTTTGCAGTTTTTCATTGGAACTATAGTACTTAGAGCATTCTCCAGGGGTTATTTCTTTGCATTCATTCTCCGATTTCTTAAGAACCTTAACAAGCAAATGCACAACATTAGTTGATAATGAGAGAAAACATTATTAGGAGTAAATTCTTTAGACGTTATTACTTACAGCTGTACATAGTGATTGCAAATCGTAGCTCCGGACCTTCAAGTTCAATTCTCTTGCAGAATTTTGTATATCACATATAAGGCGTCCAGTAAAGGATTGTGCCAGATTGATTTTAGACTGCGAAATTTGAATAAATCATTTGTTATTCATTAATTCTCTCGTGACAAGTAATATTATTATTTGTATTCACCTTAAAGATCGGTGGCACCAAGCGTTTCAATTTCCCTATTCGGCTCCAATTTGGCACTTTTAAAGTAAACATTCGATGCATCAGTACATCTAATTGAAACCCACAATCGTATCCCACTATTAAATCTGGATCGGCTTTATGAATGATATTGAGTAACTCCTGGAGTAAGTCGAGTTCGGTCTCACATCGGATTACTTTTGTATGTTTGATTTTTGACAATGTATCGCGCGCATGCATAGGCCATGGCGTATCCTTTGGATTAGTAATTACTATTTAGGAGAGAAAAGAATGTAATTAATAATTCAGATAATTGAAAAAAAGAAGCAAACTAAAATTTAAGAAACGTACAACACATATGCTGTTCAAATGGTGGTTTAGGTGCCGGTTTGTCGATTTTATATTTATTATGAAGAAGAATCGACACCATGACGACTTCATTTTGTTGCAGTTTAGAATTTAATGACGTCCTCACATTTAATGTTGCAACTATCATTGGTGGAGGTGATTTGTTTTCAGTACTTTCAGAAACTGAAATGTGTTCTTTCTTCATACAATTTACCTGGAGAGAGTTTAAGTATATTAGACATGAACTAGTGGCAAATTTTTTAATTTTTCATAAGTTTCCTCAATGTATAATTACCTGTATTTTGCACCAGCTAACAGAGTTTCCAGCTGGTAATGGATTTTTCACATCCAACCAACAAGGACCTTTAATATCCCTTTCTATTAATAACAATTCAAGAGCATTCACTGACGTTCCGAAAATGGTTTCAAATGTAGTCCCTTTGTAATCAGGATCTAAAGCTGGATATGTTGCAGGATATCTTACTTCCAAGTATTCAGAGAAATTTGGTACGCCTTCTTTTTCGAAAGCATAGTACTTTGAGACGCTACAGGAACGGAAGCTTTTAATTCCTTTCTTGTCGGCTAATTCATTGAATTCTTTATACACGTCCGAAAGTGAGACTTGTTTATTTTCTGAATCAGGATCTGGGTTTTCAGATTTAGTCTGAAATATATTAACCAAATATTGAATAAACAAATCAAATGAAAATATCAGTTCTTATATATATAAAACTTACATATTCTCTGGGAAGAAGATAAATTCGTCTTTCGATATTTTTTATCATGATACAGCAGGACACGTATATATTTGCAGATGGAACGTAAGCTTTTCCAAAGAGATGTACGATTCCAGGTTGTTTGTAAGGATCTTCCGTGGCATCCAACCAAAAGAATCGAAAAACCTTTTCACCTTTATTGTTTGTAGTGAGCGGTAAATCCTCTGTATTGATAGAAATATCAGGTTCGTTCTGCTGAATTCCAAAATTCGTCTCCCATTCTTCATTAAATAATTCAGATTCAACTATCTTTTCTTCAACATCTTTGCACAAGACTTTTAATTTATCAGTTTTTATTGTTTCCTTTGGTTTGTCCAATTGTTCCACTTGAGGCACGTTTGTATCCGTGGTTGTTTTTTGTACAAATGACGCACTCATATCAATACTATCACTTTCAAAATCTATATTTGACAGCTATAAAATTAATTTAATAAGGATTAAAATGTGTTGATTTATCAGTCAAAATGGATATACATGTCATGAAATACTTACATCTCCAACATATTTATCAATATCTTCTGTATCATCTTCAATAATTTGGCTTAATGACGTGTTAGTATTTTTACTTTTGAGTACAGACTCTGCAGTGATATCTTGAGATCCGCAAAAGTCACTGTCACTGTCTATTTCTTGGCTTTTACTTTGCGACACTGAGGATTTTTCAATATTTACAGATGTCTCAGAACTTTTCTTTTCATTTTTCTCCTTTCTAAGAGACGCTGGTTTATCAAACATTGCTTCATCGGAGTCCTCATCATTCTGTATAGTTTGACTTATACTATTATTGCGATCTGCTTCCTGGCGAGCCGTTTTATTACTGATTTTATAAAAAGAAAAGCAATACATTTCATGAATGTGTTTACCATAAATTCAGATACTAATATTTAAATACCTACGTAACAGCAGCTTTTGGAGTGATAGCAAATTTATTTCGGGACTGTACTTGTTTGCGCTTTGGAGTAGACTTTTCATTTTGAAGTTCTGACATAAGATCACCTAAAATGTTATCGTCGTCAAGTTTCTCTGCAGTTTTCTGCTTTGTAGACATATTCATGAACATGTCTCTAATGTTCCCTTTGCTCTTCTTTTCTTCCTTTTTCTTTTTCCTAGGGCCTGCCATTGAATCCTTTGAGGCTTGTCGAATGCTATCATTATCGAGATCATCATCAAATATTTCTCTACCATCTTCCACGTATCCACTTCCCCCTGTGAAGTATATATAATATAAATATATAATAAAGTTATTATGTTTCTATTACGGCATTAATAAATGCATCTTCAATGATATCACTTACCATCGTCGACAATCCAATCGTCGTTCTGTCTTTCCAAAACTGTTTTACTGTATGTTCTTTCATCTACTTCATCATAAACATTTTCCATCTGCTCGACTTCATATTTATGTTTGCTGCCTTTCAGTTGTTTCAGTTTTTCCAAAGCTGATAGGCGTCCAGTTTTATCAGTCTTTAGCCGCTTAGCTCGAGGTGTCGATGAAGCTAAACAGGAATTATTGAAATCAGTATCTTACAAGTGGAGTGTTTTCATCATTTTTGCTAGAATATAAATATAACTGTCTTCGTTTAATATTATATTCCAAGTACCGTTTACTGGTTATTATAACATGACATGAAAAGTATATAATGAATGACTTTTTTATTCATATTGAATATTAATTATCTCATTATAATTAATTATTAATTAATTATATTATTTATAATTAACTATTTGAAAATTTCAATGAATAATAATATTATGAAATACCTTCATCCATGCTAGTTCAAATTCGATGCAAATATAATTAATAAAATAAACACACTACACTATTCTCAATACTAAAAAATGTAAACAATAATGGTGACCACGGTTTTGTATAAAAAATTTTAACACATTACAATGCAACAATCAACGTTTTAAACAAAATCAGGGGTATGAAACTGCCATGTATTGGGGGGGTAACCAGGTGTAACGCTTATGCACTCCCGCCATCTTCGGTTGGAGTAAACCTTTTTCGCGAACTTATTTGGCGGGCTATTCAAATTCATTTATTAAACGAAGGGATATTTTCGGGATTTAAAAAGTACTTGCAATGATTAAAACAGACGTTGCTTAAACTGGTACACACAAATGTAATAATGTTCTTACTACAAAAGAAACATTCCTGACCACCGAACATCATGTTTCGGCATACCATCTATTTTTTTCAACAGGTAATATTTTCATTTAATGATTGTTAATGTTGAATCAATAGCTTGTCTCTGTCAAATTTTTCATTACAATAAGAAATTTATTGCATAATTGTTTAAAAATATTTTTGAAACTAATTGTATTAATTTAATTTTGAAATGTAAAACAATATTGATTAGTATATCTGCCGCAGGCAACATAGATTTTAAGATAGATTTGTACATAAAAAATTATATCGATACAGAGAAAGATTGCCCTTTTCTATAATTATTAAATGTAATAACTCATTTGAATCATCATTGCAGATAATCGTGGAGAAGACGATATCCTGTACAAGATGCGTCGTCCCAGGATGTCTATCGAAAAAACCATTTAAATCCAGCCATCGCTTCCCAACGAATCCAGAGATGTTGAAGACCTGGCTGGAAGCTATCGGAAATGAAGCTTTGAAGAATATCGAGGGGAGGAAACTGCACAATATGTATAGAGTTTGCTCGCTGCATTTTTCATCCGAATGCTTCGTGCCTCTCACACGAAAGCCAATTCTGAGGAAAAATGCAGTGCCAACTCTATTATTAACAAAACATAGTGAAAGTGCAAGTGGTATTACAGACATTGTAAGTATTGCTGAAGTCGATAATTTAAGTATATATTAAAATGTATTGCTTTTATTTAATTTAAGTTTAATTTGAATATTCAATATACATATAAGAATGCGTTATTTTTTATTTAATTATATATACAAATGTTTGCTTTAAGTAAGTACTCTGATTTGTTTTTAATTTTTGTTATAATTAGTTTCATAGATTAAATGCGATCTATAGAATCTATGAAACTAATTATAATAAAATATTTTATATTAACACGATTTATATAACGAAAAATATTTATACATTTACAATAATTTATATTTTTGTCTTATTAAATATTGCAAGTACTATTTAAATCCCGAAAATATCCCTTCGTTTAATAAATAAATTTGAAGAATCCGCCAAATAATTTAGTTCGCGAAGATTTACTCCAACCGTAGATGGCGGTAGTGCATAAGCGTTACACCAGAGATGAGCATTCTTATGTCCATGATGTAGTAAACATCAATGCCGCGAATTACGAAATTCAATAAAAATTCATATATGAGCATTGTAACAAATTATTATTAAAAATAAAAGGGAAGTTAAAGGGAAAGGCATAAAAGAAGTAAAGTGAGAAGGAACTAATGCACTCGTCATTTGTCACAGAAAAAGGCTATTATTTCCAGTTTAAAATTTTAATTTAATTACAAGGTATTAACACAGAACTCGTAGAATAAACTCCGACAGGAATGGAATAACTCTACTTCATTCAAAATAATAATTACTTCCACACCGAATGTATTTCGTACTGTTATATCTGTCAGTTATGAAATGTCTATGTCCACATGCTTTCATAAGTAATTTGAGGATATGCACACCATTATTGATGTATTATATAGCAGCCAAGGCACAATGAATATGCAAATGTATCCCTTCTCCATTAATAATTTCCGAAGCATTTTCTCTTTTATGATTGCTTGGCTGGGGTAATCAATACATGGCTCTTCAATTTGGATCGACACACTCGACTACAAGAAAATTTAAGAGATATTTTCGAAGAATAAGATGGAATATTTATAAAGATACATGGAGAGGAGCTACAGAAAGGGGACATCTGGATCACTCCTCTAGGTCCAGGTCCCCTAATTCTTCTTCAAGTCCTTCAAGGTCTTCCTCCGTAAAGAGATTTTCATTGATGGCTAATGCTGTGGCACCTTCTGCACTTGCAGTAGCTGTTAATACATTAAAATCTTCCATTAAATAAAATATTCTCATTGAAAATATCAAATATGTGGATAGTTTTCAAAACTATCTAGCCAACAAGTCCAGAACTTACAAGATGGTTCTCCGTTCACTTGAGAGTTCAGCTTATTAGCTAATCTATCTTTTTCAGCAACAGTTATCCCCGTTGAATCGGCTTCGGAAACATCTAATGCGAGCCGATCTGCATCAAGCTCCCGGTATTCTAAATCATCCCCTTCTTCTTCTTCTTCACGGACGTAAGAAGAAATTGCCTCATCGCCATCATCGATACCTGTTGTGAACGATCCCAGATGATAGTATATATTTCTTCTGAATTAACTTTACGATTAAAATTTTAATTTTAACTGAAATTATAATTACCATCTCCAGCAGCAAGTTCCGGGTTAAAGAAGAACATCTCTCGACCAGATATGCCAACTTGGCGTCCAGCTTTGTAATCACTGCGTTTCTTTTCTTCATCCTTAATTGCCTGTTCCTTTTTCTCACGAAGTTTTCGTTTCTTCCAAGCCAGAAACGTTTCTAATGTGACTCTCGTCTATCGAACCGTGAAACCATTAGTACAATTTCGATGAAAGAATACAAACACTTATTATTTTAAAAATAGTGAATCGTATGTATAATCATACCTGATTTGCTCCCAGGTTGGCTCGTTCTCTTTCTATAAGATCTTCCAAAGATATTTCATCTTTCTTCTCATCCTTCTTTTTGTCTCTTTTTAGTACAAATCCAGGTGGTAATGCGTGTCTGTATATGCACTTTTGACCAGAGGGACATTCCCAAAACCAGCCATATTTGGACTTTTCTACAGCTTCTAGGAAATGTCTGCAGATCTTTGTAATGTTCATAGTTAATCAATCTGTTCTAGTAAAGTCCTCTGCATGATCAACCTCGGAACACTTACTATGTCGGTAGTTGGCCGATTACCCCCTAATCCGTGCTTCTTCTCGACAACTTCTTTCAGCTTATCTTCATCCCACTTATCCATGGTATCCGTTTCTTTGTCATCGTCATTGCGGACGTCACAATAAAGTGAACGTTTCTCTGCTTTCCTTTCGATGCTAAGGTCATGAGAAAATTTGCACTTGTCACCCTTGAGGCATACACCTTTTTTGAAAAGTGCGCAAACAACTGACTTCGGATCGGTATCTGTATAAAAAGGCAAATATATCGTTTATAACAAATCTTATAGAAACTAAGGAATATTAAAGATATGATACAATTAGTTCTGACATTCAATATCCACAATCATTGAAAATCGTCTCTAAATCAAAATAGATAGTCAATGATTCTATAGAAAATTGAATACTTCAACCTTTGTCAATTTTTTGAGTCAGGACTGGTTTAAATATCAGAGCCAATTCCTTTTGTTCTTTTAATTTCCTTTCCTTTTCAAGTTTCTTAGCATTCGGATCTTCGATCTTTCGTGCACTAATTCCTCCCGTCTTCACCTGTTTCTCTACCTGCTGAATGAACTTCTGTTGCTTCGCTCCTTTCTTATTCTTGATACCAAACGTTTTATCCTGCAAGGAATTAATAAATTACCTACTAAGGACAAAGAAAATAAGAAATATACAAGGAATTGTCGACACGCGAACATTAATGGTAACGTTAACAAAAATTAACCTACCTCAATCACTTTCTCCTTCTTCTTTTGCTCAGTTTTTTTGCCGGGTACAGGTGCTTTTTTAGGCGGCATTTTACTGTATTATGTTCTATATGTAATTGTTATTTAAAAACCATACAAGACGGGTTTACCGATTCAGAGATGAAGAACTTTCTTAATCGCAGCATCCAATTTCCTTGATTTTATTAGACAGACATCTGCTGGACATCCGCCAAGTTCGGCCCATAACTACATGAATGAAGAACTCTAATCATTCTAAAATCTCCGAGTTCCACTAAATAATTCCAATTTGCAGGCGCTACATTTTACGTTCATTTACGTAATGCATCCATACCTCCATTGAAAGCGATGTGCGACTTCTTAGTAAATTTTATTCATAGGTGAGGTCGTATGCTGCCATCTTGTGGGAATTGGAGGGACTTGAAAAACGCAGTTTGAAAATTAGCGCGCATAGAAATCGAAATTTCAAAATCTTCGGCACTTCTCTTCTGCGGGTATGGATTCTAATAATCAAAATAAAGGAATGAGATATATCAATTGAAACTAACAATGATTAGAGGCAACTAGAATGACTAATCAGCACTTCAGTTACCCAACGTCCCTAACTTAAGGTGATATAAAAAAGTCATTCCATATACATAAAACGTCCAAACATTTATGAAACTTTTCTCCAAACTGAATGCACCGAATAGTTAGAAACTTCAGTATGTAATTATGGAGGCACTAAAGAAGAACCTGGTGGTCGTGAAATTTCATTTTTGATAAGAAAAATTGATTTATTTATCCGAGATTAGAACTAAGAATAAATATTTTTTATCTAATGAAGTTTCACGAGTACCACGTTTTTCCTTAGGGCCTACATAATCGCGTGCTGAAGTTTCAAATGATCCGGTGCACCTAGTTTGGAGAATAGTCTTATAAATATTGTTTACGTTATATATATACATAAATGATATATATGATGAAAGTGAAATGGTTATATATATAACTAAATATATAAAATATATATAACTATATATATGTGCGTGTGTATATGTATATATATGGCCCTTTCATAACATCTTAACAGAAGATATAACATTTAAGATAAATCATGATTATTCTGTATTATTTTAGCCTATGGCGTCGAATGACCGTAATATTTCCATTTTTTAGAAATTCACGTGCTCTGGAATTCTGTTTGTCGGTGCCACGTGGGAAAGCGATCAAGGCCACGAGTCTCTGGATCTCCTTTAAAGCTCCGAGCATAATAGTAAAGCACCCTCGTCTGGTATGATACAGAGATAAAACAGGTCTCGTTTAATTATCGTAACCTAATTAGGGCTCAATTGATTCTAATCTGCATACTATCTACGTTCAATAGGTGGACGGGAAAAAAATCGATCGATTTTATAACAAGGCGAGAGACTCTCGTACAGACAAAAGGACGTTGCAAGGAAAGACAAGAATATTGAAGGAAATATGAATTTTTTTACCCATTTTGCCACAGCATCATGAACGCGAAAAAGTACTACCGCTTAAACAATACTCCCCATTGCAACTAAAAATTATAACGTAGTCGGATGGGTTATTGTTTCGTTTTTTAATAAACATTCTTTTTCAGGTATGAAAAGGGAACAAAAGGAGAAGAGGAGAATTGAACAAGAACGAAAAACAATCTTTATCTGTAGAGGAGGGAGGTGGAAGGCCTTTCCTACCCCACGTACTACTGTATGTATTTTGCATTAATGTAATGTAATGTAATTTGCATTAATGCAATGTAAGGATGGGTTATTGTTCTATCTTTCAATACAAAATTTGTTGTAGGTATTGCGGAAAGGGAACAAAATGAGAAGAGGAGAATTGAACAACAGCGAGAAACAGTCTTCGTCTCTAGAAGAGGGAGAGGGAAGGCCTTTCCTACCCCACGTATTACTGTATGTATTTTGCACGTTTAATTGGGTCTTAATTAGCCTCTAAATTTTGAATGCGGCGTTTTTTGCAAGCCTCTTTTGGACCCGGTTTAACCATTAGACGGTTCACCAAGGAGGAGGACATGCGCGAACTCGGCGCATTTAATTGGACCCGTAATTGGCACGTGTGAATCGGCAAACCGATAGTCGCTCGCAAATTGCGTCTGTGCTTTTTAAAAAGATCCGTTTTTTTTTCTTTTTTTAATTTTGTTAACTGCGAAGAGGATGGATATCCCGTGAATACCAGATCTCTCGCCCGGGGAAATCGGTCTAATTCTGATATACTTTTCCCCTTTTTTACCTGCATAGAGTAACCTTGCGTAGATACTTCTTTAAAATCAATTGTTGTAGTTCGGTAGGATCTATACTCTAGACAGAATGCGGTTCTGGCCTCTGTCCAAAAAGTGAAATTGTGTCTCGGTGCCCCAGATCGGCTCACTGCTCTACCTCCGTGTACCCTATATGTGAGTGCACATCGTACAATCGATCTGCAATACTAACATCTGGATATTTTCCTCTCGTTTAATTTTATTTCTCCGATCGCGACTAATAAGCAACGTCGACCCTGGTAGCATAGAATAATTTCTAAATATTTCTTTGCAATCTTTGCTAAATATTTAAAGCGTCAGATTTTTTAAGATTTCTTGTGGATTTCATTCGAAGATATTTGAAATATTTCTTGAAAATCTCAATGACATATTTAGTTTCAATCATTTATAAACATATAGAGAANCATTGAGATTTTCAAGAAATATTTTATATATCTTCAAATGAAATCTACGAGGCATATTAAAAAAATTTGTCGCGTTGAGATATGTAGCAAAGATTGCAAGAAATATTTAGAAAATATTCTGTGCTACTAGGGCTACGTTTAGGTTGATAGAAAAATCGAAATTTTGCGGTGGAAAGTGTCGGGACAGTTTTCGAGGGTGAAAGTTTAAAGCTGAGAGCGAATAGCATCTTTAAACAAGACACGTCCCTTGGTGGCAGCTCGATTAAAACGTCGATTTCTTCAAAGCCCAGACGGTGGCAATTTAGTTTCATCTGCGAGAACGAGATATCGACATTTCCATACTTAATAGGGAGGCGACTTAAATCTTTACTGGACCCGGAGAGTTGAGATACTTTGAGATACGTACGCGTTGCGCGCCCAATATCATCTCAAATTGCAATCGATAAATGGCCGTCTCTCTGGAGCCAAAAGATATCCTTATTATACGAAACTACGGTCCGTTTGTCGTAACTTCTCTTTTGTCTTTGAAATTATGATAATTGCCCGGAACCGAAGGAAAAGTGAAACAATCCGTAGTAGCATAGAATAATTTCTAAATATTTATTTATANGATAATATTCTAAAGTAAACGTTTTGCAAATATTTCAAATGTTTGCTAAATATTTACAAAATGTACGATATTCGTTATATATATGGAAAATATAGGACAAATATTTTGTGCTTCTAGGGAATGATTGCCGCGCGTTAAAGCAATCATCCTCAAGGAATCATAATCATAAACAATTGAATTAATCGCTTGTCAAAGGGAATATATTTCGTAATATTTCACTAGTATATGCAGATAGATTTATGACTTTATAGCAATCAAATTCAAGATGAATTCTGGATAAACTTTTACTTTTAACGGAACCTAGATCCGTGACAAAAATCACCGCGATAAATGAACGTACAAGTGTACCGATCAAATGTAATTTTTCGTTGCACAGGTAGAGCGGAGTGAAAAATGCCCCTCACGAATGTTTCTCGTAACAACATAAGTTAGAGCTTTTATCTAAGACACTTTTCGATCCGAGGCTTAATTCACCTAGAAATTTAGAAAACATTCAGCTATTAGTTTCCCTCGCCCCATGAAAGGCCGTAGTCGCACGCTTTCCCAGCCCACATCCGTACACAGGATCCGCCACGAGCCAAACCCTTAATACGAAAGTTTCCCGTGACAATACGACCTACAACTTTCGTCTAAGATACTTTCCCATCCGATGCTTACTTCGACCAGTAGAGTGGAAAACTCCGAGCCCCGGAGCATCCGATCCCATTTCCCAGGCGGTCGGGTCGCCCTTAGGTCACTATAAAAGAAGTACTCAAATTTATCTAATTGTTCAAGTCTTCAGACACGTTATCTCAATCTTCCTCCCAATTTCCTAAAATCATCTTCGAATCCATCCATGAAACCATAAAATGATTTATAAATGTACCACACATGCTTACTCCCTTACTTAACCCTTTTAGTGTCGGACAACGATACATCCTCGTTTTACAAGTATTAATTCACTTATTTGAAAACGATTTTAACTCGCATTTAATTTAAGAAAGGATGTTAAAACGAAGTTAAAGGGATGCGAAAGTAGTATCCAAGGGGTCAGTCATGAAACTTTTCTCCGAACTAGGTGTACCGAATCATTTCAAACTTTACAACACGAATGTGGAGGCTATATGAAAGGTCCTGACCCCCATGAAAAATCATTTTTAATAAAAGAATTGTTTAAACACTTACATACAAATTTTGAAACAATTTAAATTTCCTAGATGTCAGGGCCTTCCTTATAGCCTCCACGTTCACGTCGTAAAATTCGAAACAATTCGTTACCTCCAGTTCGAAGAAAAGTTTCATGATTGCCCCTCGGGTGCCACTTTCGCATCTCCTTAACTTCGATCAAATTCGTTTCATAAATTAACTTCGAGTTAAAATCGTTTCTTAAATTAACTTCGAGTTAAAATCGTTTCTTAAGTTAACTTCGAATTAAAATCGTTTCTTAAATTAACTCCGAGTTAAATTCGTTTCTTAAATTAACTCCGAGTTAAAATCATTTCTTAAATTAACCGAGTTAAAATCGTTTCTTAAATTAAATCCGAGTTAAAATCGTTTCTTAAATTAACTTCGAGTTAAAATCATTTCTTAAATTAACTTCGAGTTAAAATCGTTTTCAAATAAGTGAATTAATATTTGTAAAACGAGGACTCCAATCTTGCATCTTAAAAATGTCTAATAAACATATTCATGCCGTGCGAAGACACCGGATTATTTACTTGACCACCTAAGGTAGATTCGCATCCACTCTGGGGATTGATTCCGAATGGTGCACCCTGTACCATTCGGCGTATTTAATAAACATATTCACGCGGTGCGAAGACACCGGAATCTTTAATTGACCGCCTAAGGTAGATTCGCATGCACTCTGGAGATTGATTCCGAATGGTGCACCCTGTACCATCGGAGGAGGCATCGCGCGTATCTAATAAACATATTCACGCGGTGCGAAGACACCGCCCTAGTAGCATAGAATAATTTCTAAATATTTCACTGTAATCTTTGCTAAATATCTCAAGCGACAGATTCTTTAAGATTTCTTGTAGATTTAATTCCAAGATATTTGAAATATTTCTTGAAAATCTCAATGACATATTTCGTTTCAATAATTTATAAACACATAGAGACACATTTTTTAACTTATTAACATAATAAAAATACATTTTTTACTTCACGACCATTATCGGACACTTCATTTGGTATGAAAAAACACGAGAAATTTGTCTAATATTTTCGTTCCGCTGTTTCATTATCGGAGCAAAACGTGTGATTTTGATTTTAAATATTTTTAAAACGTTTATAATGTATTCGGAAGATAATATTTAAAAAATACTTGTATTAAAATGAAACGAAATGTTTT